TTAGACCTGAGTGCAAAAATGGAGGCTCTAGACCCTTCCAGAGCTGAGATATCGAAACTCAAAAATTCGGCGAAAAAAAAACGACAGTGGTACCCCTTACGTTTTTTTTTTTTGGGCGAAAAATTAAGTTTCTCCAATCTTCCCAAACTCTGGATTCTGATAGAGGGCCATGAGACTTAGACCTGAGTGCAAAAATGGAGGCTCTAGACCCTTCCAGAGCTGAGATATCGAAACTCAAAATTTCGGCCCGAAAAAAAAAACGACAGTGGTACCCCTTACGTTTTTTTTTTCGGGCGAAAAATTAAGTTTCTCCAATCTTCCAAAACTCTGGATTCTGATAGAGGGCCATGAGACTTAGACCTGAGTGCAAAAATGGAGGCTCTAGCTTCCAGAGCTGAGATATCGAAACTCAAAAATTTCGACCCGAAAAAAAAACGACAGTGGTACCCTTACGTTTTTTTTTTTCGGGCGAAAAATTAAGTTTCTCCAATCTTCCCAAAACTCTGGATTCTGATAGAGGGCCATGAGACTTAGACCTGAGTGCAAAAATGGAGGCTCTAGACCCTTCCAGAGCTGAGATATCGAAACTCAAAAATTCGACCCGAAAAAAAAACGACAGTGGTACCCCTTACGTTTTTTTTTTTTGGGCGAAAAATTAAGTTTCTCCAATCTTCCCAAAACTCTGGATTCTGATAGAGGGCCATGAGACTTAGACCTGAGTGCAAAAATGGAGGCTCTAGCACCTTCCAGAGCTGAGATATCGAAACTCAAAAATTCGGCCCGAAAAAAAAACGACAGTGGTACCCCTTACGTTTTTTTTGTTTTCGGGCGAAAAATTAAGTTTCTCCAATCTTCCCAAAACTCTGGATTCTGATAAAGGCCATGAGACTTAGACCTGAGTGCAAAAATGGAGGCTCTAGCCCCTTCCAGAGCTGAGATATCGAAACTCAAAAATTCGGCCCGAAAAAAAAACGACAGTGGTACCCCTTACGTTTTTTTTTTCGGGCGAAAAATTAAGTTTCTCCAATCTTCCCAAAACTCTGGATTCTGATAGAGGGCCACGAGACTTAGACCTGAGTGCAAAAATGGAGGCTCTAGGACCTTCCAGAGCTGAGATATCGAAACTCAAAAATTCGGCCCAAAAAAAAAAACGACAGTGGTACCCCTTACGTTTTTTTTTTTCGGGCGAAAAATTAAGTTTCTCCAATCTTCCCAAAACTGGATTCTGATAGAGGGCCATGAGACTTAGACCTGAGTGCAAA